TTATATGGCCAATGGCTAATGATTTGGCCATAACTGCTCATGAGGTTAATGCGCTTTACGTGTTCGTTTATACCAAAAGACCGTCTAAACTCTCATTGCAGCCCATTTGATTCAAGTCTCGATGAAGGGAAGGAGATCGGAATGGAGGAATGCAAGGGATTGAATTGTGGATGAGTAGGGAGCAGATGTGCGATAATTGAGTAATAAAGTGTACAAGAACCATTGACAGAGTTAAATTTTTCATTTACACAAGTTTGGTGTTGCAGAAGCTTCCACTGTGGTCTTTCACCAGTCCTACCATTCAATTGCTTGCACAAGGAGACAGAAATGTCCTGACGAGGGACCGCCATCAGTCGAATTTTGCAGTTACAGTGAAAGGCATTGGAGGAAATCAGACATCCCTACCCTTGATCTCTAAGGTCAGTTTCGGCTTTTTACAAAAATAAGGAGTAAAAGCAGTTAATGCTGGGTAAATGAAGAGAAGAAGAAGAAGGAGGAGGGGTTACAATCGAATTCCATAAATGCAGGCAGTTATGAGGAGGAGGAGGAGGAGGAGGAGAAGAAGATGGAACTTGAAGCATAACGTGTCAAGCTCACGAAGGGATGCATTTGCATCCACAGGGATCCGTAACGGCCTCTGGTAGTGAACAGCATTGAACTTCACCCAAAGCCACTTCGCTTTTCTTTGCTTAGCTTGATTCGCGGAAAAATTTGCGTTGGATTAAAATATCACCGAGCAGGCATATTGCAGTGAGATCAACTGATTCGCCCATTGTTGTCCACGCCTTCTTCCCTTAATGCAGACAACATCGACGACGTTGGTGACGATGATGATGCTAGTGTCGTTGTTACTGTTGCTGTTGCAGTTGTTGTGCACAGTCTTCCTTCTTTTGTTGTTGTCGTTGCTGAGAGCTATGACAACGATGACGATGGCACATGCCAATGCGAGTAGTAGTTGGGATGCCATGGCTACGCATAGGCCCGATGGACCAGGTGGCGATTGGGACACGACGAAGCGAATGAACATGACGTGGAGGTGTGTAGTCGTATTTAGGTGGATGAAAGAGAGTTGTGGGAGAAGAGGTGATGTGGGGAGAGGAGAAAAGCGTGCGCCAGCCTTGTCGTGCGCATCTCCACTTCCACTCACCTTTGCGTCGGCGGCTGCACCATCATCTCTCAGCTACTCTACACTTCACATCAAGCCGCTATAAGCAGAAGCAAGATGTGATTGTCGGATAACCGTAGAGGCGAGGTAAGGCGAGGCAAGACAGGACGGGAAGGATTTGGATGTGCTGTTTGCGTCAGTGTGGTTGAGAGGTCCAAGGCGCCAGACTCAAGTGAAAGTGCCTTTTGGGAATTCTGGTCCTCTAATGAGGGCGTGGCTTCGAATCCCACTGCTGATACGACTTTTGCCACCGCCACTATCACCACCGTCATTTCGGCAATTTCCACAGACAAGGGTGTGAGTTCAAAGTAGAGGGAGGAGGATGCATCAGCTCGATTGCAGATTGCAAGACAGACTACTATGGGGAATTTGCAATCGAGAGAAGAGCGAGGTACGTGACACAAGAGGTGATGACACATAGAGATGCTGGGGACCGAACCCGGGGCCTCTCGCATGCAAAGCGAGCGCCCTACCACTGAGCTACATCCCCCACCTCACCGTCACCTTCTCGCCCACCCACCCCGCTGCCTTACGCTTCCCACCTCCAAGTGAATGTGCGTAAGACGCCAGAGGCAGAGATGTCTCCTTCTCCCCTTTCCCGCATTCCCACGTCTAGGCACGTGCTTGTCCTACCACCACTCTTCACATCCATCGCCTTCAATTTTGATGTGTTGGCTGCGTCGACAGACGGCGATGATGAATAGTGGAGGGGAGGCATAAGTTGAGCGAGAAGGGAGTGTTGCAAGTGCAGACGCGTGCGGTGGTGGAGTGAAGTGATAGGGTGGCGTGATGAAGGGGAGGCGACGAGGCCGCGGTGTCTTCGTAGCTCGGGGGTTAGCGCACTGGTCTCGCAAACCAGGGGTTGAGAATTACATTCCTCCTGGGGGCAGGCGGTGTGGCCTCTTCGACACCCGCCCCACGTTTAAGTGCCCTCCTCCCATGCGGTTCTGTCGCACTATCCAACTTCATAAAGGACTCACAACCAACTCTCATCTCACTTCACTACCACATTTTGCTCATGGGGATGGTCGCGCCGCATTTTGTAGTAGAGCAGACTGCCTCTACCCGGGGACGTGGTAGCACTGCACCACCAAGCCGCTGACACTTGCGGCTCTCAAGAACACCCACTCTGCTATCCCTACTCTTCCTCTCTACCCATCCATCCATCCAACTACCCACCCAATTACCCTACTATCCATATGCTTGCTTACTCACTTACATCTCTACCTACTCAACCATCCACCCACCCACGCGCCTTTAATCTACCCGCAATATGCTGCAAGCCGGTCTTACCACGGTTGGAGAAGAGGGCACAATATTGCAGAGTGTGCTGTCCGTCTACAGTGTTAACGGTTTCTGCTGCTTTCAAAACGCGCAAAAGCTTTAATGAAGGTCTGGAGTTTACCCGTTCATTTGTGGCCAATATGCAAACTTCTTCAGTGTAGATGATATGTGGATTGCGTATAAACAGCACAACGAAGTGGAGGACAACGCAATCGCTAAGAGAAAATGCTGGAGGTGGTGATGCACGCAAAGCTTTCCAATTAACCACATCAGTCTGTACTATCGTAAATCCATCTAATAGCGATTCCTTCACCTCATTCACAATAATCGCAGCTCCTCCAAATAAAGCAAACATTCAACATGCAGTGGAGGAATGATGACTAAGTAAATTGCATGCCCGCCTGGCTGTGCGTACCTCTACAGTCCTCTGCGCGTCGTACACCACACTGCCGACACATGCGTTGGTAGGTTGCTTATCAATGGCCTACTTCAATTAGGTCCAAGTAGTCCTTCATTGATACAATTTGTTGCCAAACCGCATATTAACTAGGCAACGTGCACTCCCGCCCTGTGGTATAGCCGTAAGGCCGTGCCACAACAGTCTGTCAAGGCTTGACGAGACAAAAGAGAAAGCTGCCGCCTTCGTGACATGATTTGACATAGGAGAAGAGACGACTCGGAGGCTACAGTAAGGAAGCAGGCACCAAAGGGCACTCATTCATCTCCACACGACTGGTAACACATGCCACTACATAGTTTACGGTGTCCTTCTGCTTACTCTTTTCCGAAAGCTAATGCTTTTCATTCATGCACACCACATTCCCTTATCCATGCTTTACATACAAACTAGCGAAATGACAGTAATCCTGTCCAAATGCCATGAAAGCATTCCGAATTTGCCCATTTTCAAAGTACAATGACAAAACCTCCTCCACTTCCACAAAACCATAGATAGGGATTGCTGTCCAAAGACGACACCACACTGCACCACTTGACACGTGCCACCGATCGATTGACAGACGTGTCAGATGATGCGAGGAAGTGAATCACACAACCAACTGCCAGATGTGCTGAACTACGCCTTCCAATGCCTTCCACAACTTATCGCACTTCTGCGCCTTGTCGAAGTTCTCATCACCCACTTCATCGTCTGCGCCCCCCTGCCACTTCGTTTCGTCCTCGCCGTCGGTCTCCTTCTCATCCTCCACTTCCACCGCCTACTTCTCCCTCTCCATCTCCACGTCACCCCTAACCTACCAATTCACTGTTCCAGAGACGTCAGAAGACCTCTAATAGTGTCCATTGGAGTTTGTAGCGCTGACTAATGGAAATGACCAGACACCGTGCCCACGAAGATGCAGTTGGAAGGGACAGAGTTGGAGTGGGAGAGAGGAGGAGAAAAGGCAGGGGGCAGGTGAGGGGAGGGGAGGGGAGTGTAAGTCCATGGGTATTTGACGGTCGATGTAGACCCTTGTGGATATCGGACGATGGAAGTATCTTGCGCTTTCAATTTCACCCTCACTTGTGCTTTCGCTTTCCCTCTCACTTCCTTCTCTTTCGTCCGTTTCGGCGCTGTGTGTGTTGTTTCATTTCTTCCATCTCACTGACCTGCCATGCGTCAGATTTGTGGATTCCACGTGCCACCTGTCACCCCGTACCGGCTGTTTGTGGCCTTGGTGTGGCTAAATGCGTGAGTAACTGCCAAGGCGAAAGTCAACGCATGCAATGCAGCGACTTGGCGACAAGTCATTCTGGACTACCATGGAACGAGAGAATACGTGAGGGTGGACATCCTCAACATATTGACTGTCTACTGACAGTTGGTGTTCGTTAGCGACTCTCACAAGCGTGGAGTTGGGACTTCACCTTCTACTTCACCAATTGCTGCTCTCGTTGCGTGGACCCTTTTGACGCATCTCCCTGTTTGGTGCCTGCAGCGGTGACTTGCGAGTCTGGCGATGCGGGAGATGAGTCGCCTCCATCTGACGTGAGACTTTGTGCCGTTTCAGTGCATCGTCTTGCCCACTCGACCTGTCTTCGACTTCGCCTTCTCCGAAGTTGCTCCGTGGTTCGGATGTGGGACCGGACTTTGGGGACTTTTCTGCTCCCACCACGAGGTGTGTACTTCAAAGTGAAGGAGAGACAAGAGCAACGAAGGAAGAGAAATGAGTGAGTGGGTGAGTGGAGAGAGTGGCACCCTTGTCATCAGCCACCTAATTGCCTCCATGTGGAATTTAACACCCAGCGAAATTTTTGATGTTTTTTCCTTCTGTGCGTGTGAAAACGTCCTGATCAGTGCGTGCACACCACTTTGCACATCGGAGTGGTGGTTACCTTTAACGCAAACACCTTAGTAAAGTTGACAGAACCTAGGATGATTTGGTAATGAATGTCCATGTTAATGTGAGATCTGAATATCACTACAGACGATCAAATTACTTTTAAAAGCCTTTGCACCATTTGTGGCATCTTTAATTTGTTGCCTCATGTAATATTACCACTGACCTGTTTTCTTCAAGTTTCGGTGTTAATTGTCACATTCGTGCTCTGACTATGCCTTGACGTAATCTAGGTTTGAAGGTCACTCGTACCAGCGTATAGTATTAAATACCGATGTTGTTGGATGTTTAGACTAGACAACACAGAGAGAGAGCCAGTGTGTTGACATCATGGCGAGGGCAATCTAAATCCTCCTCCGGGGCACCAATTATTCAAAGCCCGACACCTCTGTCACCCAGTCAATCTGCGCTAGCAGTTCTAGATAGTGGTGGGTTTCAGGACCTCCTCTGCACTTCCCTTTACTTATTTACCCTTATTCCTCGCGATTTATTCTTTCATTATTCTTTCATCACATTCCGTGTATCTTATGCATCACTAATGATGGCACACCTACTTGTCGACTTAGTCACAAAATAGCTTAAAGAGTAAAATCACTGCCCTTCCTGCTGAATTAGTATTGAAAATATGCGAATTCCCTGAGAGTCGAGATTTTATAAATCTTTGCATGAGCATTCCAAGCTGAAGGTGGATCCTTCCAACACAACGCTTTTCCACTGTCATGAATCAATGCATTGTGAGATGGTCCTGGCCGGACAAGCGTCTCTGCCAGCTAATCCACCCACTACCTTCTCCGACCTCCTTTTGGAATACTCTTGGAGCAATTCAATGTCAAAAGGAGCAAGATAACTCTTGTCAACGCTATTTATTCACACTAGCGCAGAACCGAAGGCACAGTTCCACACGGTTCCGTCTTTTGCCAAACTTGAATCTGGACTTGTTAGCGCATTAGGAGTGTATACTTAGGTTAGCATCACCATACGCTGAAGACAACAATTACGTTCCGATTAACGGGTTTACGGAGAGCACAAGCAAGGGTAGGGCACGTGGATCTATCTCGCCCAGAGATTTTACTAAACGAAATAGGGTTATGCTGTAAAAAAATCACATTTTCAGCAGACGAAGATGAACCTGGGTGCTGCGACTGCATAATCCATCCTGTTAGTCCTTCGAGAATTGCCAAGGATGATCTGACAACCCTGCTGGAACTACTTGCACCACATCAAGCTTTGGTTATTGCAGTCATTGCAAACGCGATGGTGGATAAGTCAGTGGCGATGGATTGTCTAGTGCAACTTCTTCACAGCCTTAGTTGTTCCTTCAATAGTTCTCACCTGACCACTCTACCAACGAATTGGTGACTACGGTGCCTCAAAAGCCATCGATAGACACACACAGTAGGAGCATTCTGTCAGAGGGATGTTAGAGAGATAGGCAGTTTATTTGGCTAAGCTGTGTGTCAAAAATTGGCCATGACTGTTGGTTGAAGTTAGGCACAGAATTCGATAAAACCGGAAAGGGATAGCAAGAAGAGATGGATGAGGTTGATGGACGGTGGTTTTCATTCAGAATGCAGACCTCATTCAACTGGCTGTTG